GGCTCTATGTTAGCTTGAGTCAACATTAGATATGTCCATCCCGATAAACAGTTGCAAATGATTGATGACTTATTGCTTTAAGCATTAAGTGATTAATTTTATTTGAATATTTTATAAATTTTATGATTTAAATTTTTGATTTTTATAAATCAACTTCATTCGGTTAAGATGTGCAATGAATATGCCCATCACCGGGAAAAAAATATTACCAAAATATCATTAAAAATAGTTGTTCAATCGACTCCAGTTCTCGTGAGGATCAAACTGACGTAATTTGAGCTCAATTTTGTCAAGTCTAGTTCCAATAGGGATCAAATTGGCTCATTGTGAGCTAGGTCTTGTCAACTCTAGTTTCTATAAAGAGGAGAATCAGACTGACCAAAGTGTGACTTATGTCCTTGTCCAATAGAGAAGGTGATTCTCCTAAAAGCATGCATAATTAATATTTTTCAACAAGTTGTTTAAAAAATTATATTTTTATAAGCTTTGATATATATATGCAGATTTTTCGAGATAAATATACCTTTAGCATAAGCATGCAATTCGCCCATGCAACATTCTCTGATCGGATTTAATCATTTAGGACAACGTCAGAGCACATGTTGGTGTTTAATACTTATAGTGCGTGATTCTTGGTATATTTATATGATTTTCTTGCACGAAATTTGAGGCATTTGATGTTCTTCAAGGCGGTGCGCTTGACTTGATATCAGTAAACTTGTATGCAATTCTTAATGCATTCAAACATTCTTCAAGGTGGTGCACTTGACGTTAAATTTTGGATAATGTGCAAGCTAGAGCATGTAAGATTTTATTTTGGGGTTCAAGTTCGCATTCTGTCAGCTATTTCAAGAGCGATGCAGATTGGGTGGCAGGCATGCAAGATCTCATTTTGGGGTCCTAAAGTTTGCATTCTATCTACTATTACAAGAGTAGGGTAGATCCGGTGGTAAGCATGCAAGATTTTGCCTAAAACCTTCTTGCAAAACACCTTCTTTGCTTGTGTAGTTGGGTTGGCAATCCGGTGGCGTATGTGCAAGATTTCACCTAAAGCCTTCTAGCGAAATGCTTTATGTTTGTTTGTGTGTTTGAGTTGTGGATTCATTAGTGTAGGTTTGCATTTGTGTGTATTAAAACCTTTTTCATTTAATTCGAGCTACAAATTTAGGCCTCATATGCATTAAGATTTTAAATTTATTCAGGCGGTGATATTTATTTGCATGTGTTTTTTAAGTAATGCGGGCCCCGCATAAGCATCTTTCTCTTGCATAAAAAAGGGAAGCTTGATGGTATCATTTGTATACCTTGGAGCTTTTTTGAGTGTAAAAGCTTTGTTGGTCCTTCAAATTTGCAGCTTGAGCTTTCAAAATAAGTTTTTTATTTCTTAAAATTTTATGTTTTGTTTATTTCTGTAGTTAGTCTTTCACTTGTTTAAGTTTATGAAATTTTGGTTAGCCTTAGGTGGTGTTTGGACAAATTTAATAGGACTTAGGACATGATTTTGTCTAAATCCAACCACAAAAAAAACAAAAAATAAATAAAAATTAAATCCAATGCTCTGTTAGATCAAAATTTTCCATCTTTCGTCTCTTTCGCTCATGTTTTGTCTTTGAAACGACGTAAATCAGAATTTAATAATACGATTTTGTAGAGGATTTATTCCGTTGTTGCTCGAACTCCATATTTGTTGCTGAGCTCCATCTATGTCACCAGATTTATTGGATTTGACAAAATCCGATTTAACGTAAATCCATGTTGCAACCAAACACCGTCTTAATTTAGGTTATGTTAGGCACATTTAAGTAATGTTTTAAGCCTAACTTAGGTTTTATTTACCATCAGTCGAAATTTCGACAGCCTTCTGGCATCATCCCTAGCGGGGGGATGCATTGGGAGCCTGGGTTTGACCACTGTGCTATGAAGAGCGCGTATATGTGGTTTGAACTCCACGACTTGATCTTCATACCCTACCACACCATAAAAAGTGTGTATACGCCACCTGCATATAATTCATATATTTATTTATCACGCTATGAAGAGTGTGTATATGTACTTAGTTTCGAATTGCCCACCGCGTCACAAGCTTCACGTATGAGTTTCACCCCACCACACTATGAATAGCTTGTATAGGGTTCCGCTCGACATACTCAATGTGCCACAATAGGGATTTCTAGTTTTTCTTGAGTTACTATTACATTTTGAGCATTGCGTATGAGTTTTACCCCACTTTGCTATAAAGAGCGTGTATAGAACTTTGTGCAACACACCAAACGTGCGGCAATAGACATTTTTGAAATTTGAGTTGCAAAAATTATAACTTTTGGGAGGTGAGGCGACGATTTTAGAACACCTGCATGAATCTCTCAATACAAGCTTACTCTCTCTCTCTCTCTCTCTCTCTTTCTTTCTGCATTACAATCATCTACATAATGCAAACACACACACCATTTCTTTTCCCCTCCACACTCTACACTCATGTACATAAACATTCAACACATGCTTAATGCCAAATCTAACTCAAATCCCTATACCAAACTCTTCTCTGTTTCACCATATACTCAATTAATATTGTCATTTGGCAGCAGATTTTGTGAAGATTTTCAACAGAGAAGAAAAGAAAAAGGAAAAAAAGTTGACTATCAACTAATAAAAGATAACTAACATTAATAAATCCTATTGAAAATGAACTCCGCTTCTCTGTTTTACTTTGAACTGAAATGAGGGCGCTGTATTTGTTTTGGGCTAGATTTTCATGGGTTGGAAGCGATTATAGGATGGCAGGGGAAGCTGGTGTACTTTGCAAAGGAATATGAGATGCTGTAGTTCGGTTCTGGTAGGTGGGTTTCGGTTTGCTGCTAAGTGGTTTTCGGTTTGCTGCTGTGTTTGGGTAGGAGGAAAAAACAATGCAGAAGGGGAAATGGGAATTTTGGACAGGATGCACATCCAAGGCTCGGGCATCAGAGCTTGATGTGCAAGGGTTGCTGATTCGTGAATGGGGATGCGAATAGGAAGGAAGTGGTGGTGCAGGGAGGTGGAAATTGGGTAAGTGACGAATGGGTAGGCATGGTTGTTTTAGGTGCTCAAAGTGAGGAAGGAGTTAGGGCTCCTTCTGTTGCGTCTTAGACAAAGTAAGGGTTGCTGTGCGTTGCATGAGTCCAAGTGAGAAAAGGGAGAGGGGGCGAGCTGGTGGAGTTGCGGGCTGAGGAGACACTCGGGTTGGTGCTACACACGAGGGGCAGAGAGAGAGAGAGAGAGAGAGAGAGAGAGAGAGAGGAGCACTGCCTGATGGCTAGAGCTTGAGGGTTTAGCAAGGATCAGAAAGAGGGATAGCTTGCGGTGAGATGGACAGAGGAACTGCAGGTTGGCTGGAGAAATAAACTGGAAGCTCGTTGTGGAAATGTCTTGTGTGCAGAGGGTAGAGGAAGCAGGAGCTGGATGCGGGCACGGTTCAGACGAGGAAATGGAGGGTGGGAGCTGGGCGTCATTCAGTTCAGAGAGAAGAGCAAGGGACGGTTATGACGTGGGTGGAATGACCGGTGAAGGTTGAGAGCATAGTGTTTAGGATAGAAAAAAAAGGTTACTTTCTGTGGAAGGAAATGAGGGTTTAATTTAAATTTAAAAAATTTTAAATATATTTTATTGCCTCAAATTATGTGTCGGTGATCTGGGAATGGAAACCTATGCAATATGGGTATTCTTTCCAGGTGAAGAAACAGTCCGGATGTTCGTGCAGTCTATTTTGCCATTAGAGCTTATTTGGCTGAATTTGTTAACTATTGTGACTATTGGGTCCAAATCATGTGCCACGTTTGATCCCTATTGTTTTTATCGTGCTTATTATTTTCGATCACAGAGCCTCTCCTTAGGTAATTTTGGCATCTCAGATGCGATCAAGCAGTTCACTTCATGAATTGGGGCCATTTTGGTTTTCAAAGTATTTTGACTCGATTCACTTGATGTTGTTTTCGATTGTTATTGTATTCATCAGCAAAATAAAATTTCATCTTTGGTTTTGCACTAAAACAAATTGATTTTTGTGTTGATCACAATATTATTCACTTGGCCGAAGATTAGTTGTACATGATAGAACCAAATATATTTATGTTTTTTATTATTTCATTGGATGAAATGCCAAAGATGGTGAAGTTATATTGAAGATTTACTTTAAGCTCAGTTCTACTAGCATGTTGATCAAAATGATCTTTGTTGTCAAATTTGGGCAATATTTAGATTTGATCGGTTTGTGTACTTGGTGATACTAGAACTTTTTAAGAAGAGGCGATTTTTTTTTTTTTTTTTTTGAGAGAGAGAGATTTACTTGGCTATTGACTTTGTTCTATGGAAAGGAGGATTTTATAGAAAGATGATTTGTAGATGTTTTATCAATAGGGTATTCAGGCAATTTTTAGTCTAAATTTTGATTCTACTTTCTATCCATTTATGAATGGCTCTATGGGACTGTGGGTGAGAGTGAAGGGTGAACTGACTACATTGGTTGTCTACCTAAGGAAAGGATTTTATATTATTTGTTATCCTTCTACTTTTGTACTCCAAGGCTGTTTTATTGTTATGTATTATATTTGTGAGTGTTGTTATACTTCTTTCTCCTATGTTAATCTTATTATTATTTTTTGGGCTTTATTGAGTGGTAGTTAGGTTTCTATTCCTACGGATTGTTCTCTATTCATTCTTGTTGAGTATTGCATCAGAGCCTGCGCAAAATTTTTTTTTTTATTGTTGCAATTTTCTTTCACAACATTTTGCCACATTAATTTTCATATAATTCATCCTTTATATCATTTTTGTATTAATTCTATGTACTCATTCAATATATGCCCAAACCAATTAAAGATTTAGTGAAATGTGTTCGTGTATATTTTTTAATTTAATTGAGATTTTTACATTTTCAAGTTTTTAATTAGTGTAGGTACGCCATTCCTTTAATTTATATAATCCCCACTTAAATACATAACTTTTATCATTATTATTTTCCTTATTAGATGGTCATAGCTGTGTTCGCATACATATACTATCAATCCTTCATCATGTCTCAGAACTTCTCAGTTGAGATGATTCTTAACCAGGTTCGGGCCTCTCTTCTGTTGTATTTTTTTCTTTCCAGTCTTTCTTCAAAACTCTAAGGAAGATTTACATACATACCGTTCAATTCCCATATATTTATGTTCCTACCTGTATTTCACCTTTGAAAAATAAAAAAGGTCGTATTTTTGATGTGATGTGAAAGATGTAGGTGGTATAAATATAAAAAGCAAAGTATAAGTGTTAGATATGTAATTGTGTGGTATGTATGTAAATTCCCTAAACTTCAATTATTGAGAAACAACTTAAAATGATTCCGCAGATATTGAGAAACCTCAGCCTGGAAGAGCAACAACTTCTGTACATGCAACTCGCCAAAATCATAAACGAAAGACAGTTTGTGCAGTCTTGAATCACTCACTCATTGCTGCTCCTTTCATCACCTGTACATGTGATTATCATCCATTGTCTGATTTTCTCACTTACTGAATGGCTCATATTTTACAAACCTGAGCTTGTACAGTCTTTGAAACTGTTACGTCATTTGGTTGCAGTTCAGAGAGGTCTGCCCATTCTTTGAAGCACTATTGTTGTCTCAGTGGATCTTCTTCTAATGCCTAATATAGCCAAGCATATTTGTCTGATGCAGTTATTATTACTTCAGGATTTCATGTATTAGTAGCCTTTGGCCTTAGCAGCATTATTATTTTTTGTTTGGGATAATTACTTACAGACCACCCAAAATATTGATATTTACTAATTAACTACACCGGTGATTTTTTGGCAAATTATTGAGAATCTGATAAAAATGAAAAATATATGTTGGGATTTTACCATGAATTTTGATATTTGAGTTAGAAATTGAAAAATGGATGAAAGAGGGTGGTTGATTTGTAAATACCAAGTTTTGGGTGGTCTGTACGTAATGGCCCCTTTTTGTTTATATTCTCTCTATTGGCAGTAATTTAAGGGGAACATTCAGGAAAGGGGCCGTTGGTGTATTAATGCTTGGGAGCTTACCTCTATCTTTGTAACCTTGCTTAATAATCTAATTGTCTTAATTGTTGTCTTAATGTTCTTTCTGGAATTATTTTTGGTGAAAAAAAGAAGAGGTTGAAGGAAAGAAGTGATTTTTTTTTTATTTTTTTATTTTTTTTACTTTTTTGGCATTTCTATATTTTAACATGCCATTATTTTAAACTAAAAAAAGTGAGAGACAACTTTCATTTAGAGAGAAGTGACATGTTAGTATTAAAGTTTAGGGGTTAGATATGTAAATACATATCTAACACATGTAATTTGTTTTGAAGCAAGCCTGCTTAATGCCACGGACAAACTTCACTTTAGTCACTTGTGCGGATTTAGCACTCTTTTTAAGCACTAAATTAGCCCCATTCTTGCAATGTTTGGATTTGAAAGCATAAAATTCTCCAAGGAAAAAAGTTGGGAGAAGTTTTTGAAGAAAAAAAACTTCACTAGGGAATGGAAGATCACACACTTGATTGCTTTGGATGGATCCGAATAAGGGGGAGTGCTTTCTATTTGTAGCCCTCCCTCAGGCATTAGGGAATTTTTTAGATTATATCAGATAGATTAGCTTTTAGATATTTCAACATTATTGTTTTCATACTTTTAAAATTTTCTAGAATATTCTAGAGTTTTCTTCAAGCTTTTCTTTTTCAACATATTTTTGGAATTATGTGAAATCTATAGAATTTCTTAGATTATTTATCTTTCTTTTTAGTTTTTTTTCTAGAATATTTTTTGCCATGTCAAAAAGGATGTGGCTTAACTTTGTTTGAGTTGACAGTGCGTGAAACTCTCTCATAACTAAGCTCGTAATGAGCTCATTGCGTCTTCTTCCAGATATTATTGAATCTTTTTTTCCCCGCAATGTGTCTTCATGTTTCTAGATGGCTTCACCATCATATAATTATTTCCATTTGATGAGGCACTTCTTATAGTTTGGTACACCTCTTTGATGATTGGTAATCAGTTAGATTTTTATCCACTTTCTTATTAGAAGAAATGATTATTGTTGGCGGTGATTGCTTAGTGTTCTCTCTTTATGGATCTTCATTTTTATGCTCCTCATGTCTCCTTTTCTATGTTGCTCACTTCTTTGTCATTATTGCAGTTTTAAGCAGTGTTGCTTGGAACAACTTCTTTTGTTTGCTTTTAAACTTTGGCAAACTTGAAAGTTTTTGGTTTTTTTCTTCATAACTGGTTGTTTGGGAGAGGGGTGCTATGTATTAAAATTCCATGGTTGGCAACTCAGTCCCTGACTCCAGCTTAATCTGATGGTTTTTTTTTTCTTGGTGGTAGCTTATTTGGTAACTCTGTAAGTGAGACCTTTTTAAACTCATCAATTTCTGTTGTTGTCTACCTTGACATGTCTTCTTTGATCCTTGGTTCTTCATTATTTGAGTCATGAAGAATAGTTAGGTGGCTTTCGTCCTCTTGTCGGATGTCCTTCGTGAATTGGATGGCTGATAACATTTTAGCTTCTTACTTTTTAGTCTTTGTTGGTATTAGGCAAACTTAATTGCCTTTCATGATGCATATGCTATTTGCGAAGGGTATTGACAATGCCTTGATCCAAAAAGTCTAGCCCTAAAATAACTTCAAAATCATTCTTTGGGATGACAAAGAAGTCCAATATGCCCGACCAAGCTCCAATTTTTGTCTTTATTTTGGCTATTTCATGAATTGACCTTACCATTAAATTTATTATCTTGATGGAGGTTCCTTTTCTGATTGTCTGTAGTCCTATCCTTTGTGCTTGTGTAGCAGAGAAGAAATTATGAGAAGTACTTGTGTCCACCATTGATCTTCCAACCTATTACTATCTTTATAAAAAGTGACTATTTTGCTTGTGGTTTTTTCAAAGTTTACATCCCATTCAGCAGTTGCATAGTTTTCACTTGTGCCACCATATTTACTTCTTATCTCTTCTTCCTCATGATGACTTACTAGTAGAGTTTAAAACTTTCTTTTGAGGACAATCTATTGCCCAATGAGGCCGATCACAAAGGAAGCAATTGTTATGCGACTTGATTTTGTTTTCTTTTTTGCTTTCCCTTATCTTTGCGTTTGAATGAGGATGATTCGTAATGAGTCTTTTATTTGTGTTGACCCTTATTTCCCATAGCTTTGATATGTGCACTCTTCTCGTCCCTTTGCGTTTGGACTCCTTTGCGTATTCAATCAAGCTTTCAACAAAGGCAATGACAATAGCGAGATCTTGAAGTTGAAGAGAGCATCCTTGTCTGATATGTTAGGTATTTCAAGAACCAAACTAGTGAACTTTTTAATGTATTCCCGAATCAATCATGTTTATTTGAGCCTTCACAATCGGGCTCTGGCCTCATCTTACGCATTTTCAAGATAAAATTCTCTCTTAAGCTCTTTCTTGAATCATCAAAGGTAGATACTATGCACATATTTTTCTGTCTCGCCCTCTCCACCATAGCACAACAGTGTCAGAGAGATAAAAAACTGCAAATTAGATCCTTACGTCTACATCAGTAATGCCCATGGATCCAAAATATTGCCCAAGTCCGCATAGGAAGTTGTCTACTACTTTTGTGTTGCGGCCTTCTCCAAAACTCTTAGGCTTTGACACTTAAATGTGTTTGGCTTCGAACGAATAGTGGTTGGTTGATGTTGATAGTGCTTGATTGCATAAATGTACATCTCCACACATCTCTTCTTGATGAGCTCATTGTTCATCGAGGAGCTTCTCCATTTTGTATTCTTGCATCTTCGCAAATAGGTTTTTTATGGATTTCTCCAATTAGAGCATCATACCTCTGATCATGGAATGAATGGTGAAGGTGATGTCCTCCTTCTTGAGGCCATCCACCTTTTAGCCTAGATTGAGACCACGTCATTCATAATCTCCTCTACCTGAGCAAGGCACGAATCAAAGCCATGCATGACCTCCTTAGACCTTAAATTTGGTTTGGTTGTAGCAAGATCTAGTTGCATTTGATGGCCTATATTTCTGTTTCTGTTTCTTTTTTTTTTTCTTTTTTTTATATTTTTGAAGGAATCGTCAGCTTGTCTATCGTAATATATATATATATAT